GCTGTGAATAAAGAGTGGCAAACAGCTAAGCCTGTGTCTGCGTTCATTACCGGACGGAGGGGGGCCAGAACAGTAACCTGATCCAAATTTGGACGCTTGGCAACTGACTTGTATTTACGGTGGTCGCAGTGTCCCAAGGTCACATGATCCCCTTTTGCGACCTTCTGACAAGTAACGAAGACAGATTTGCTTAATAACCGGGGGACTAACTGTTAAAAACTGCAGTGATTCACTTAACAATGGTGGTAAGAAAGGCTGTAAAACGGGGCAAATGTCCCCTTAGCAAATGTCTCGCTTGGCAACAGAAATTCTGGGCTCAATTGTGGTCCTAACTTAAGGACTCGCTGTGTTTTCTCCTCTTTGGTAAGGGAAGCGAGGCGGACAGGCAGGTGGAAACTCGCTGGCGTTGAGGATATAAATCTGTTTTTATTCATACCATTGCTCCATTTCCACGGGTGGGGGGAAGGGGGAATTTTTTGGGAATGACCATTCGACCAATTTATGGGGAAGAGGCGGGGAGAGGGAAGGAAACTTTTTGGAGGGGATCACACACCCATGCGCGCACACGCACACAGCAATTCCTGCAAAGGGATGAACTTTCTGCAAGTCTTTCGGGCTAAATCCTGTTCCAGGTGGACGCGGCCAGATCCTATGCAATCAGTTTTTGCAGCCACTGGATCAGAGATGCAGTACTCCTGTCCCCGGTGGGCTTCCCAACGCGTCGCAAGACACCCCCGATGCCACGGAAGAACGCCGTGGAAGGGAGCTCGCGGGTCCAAGGGTCATACGCATGGCTTGTGTTTCTTTTCCCCAAATGTGTTCTTCTTGAAGTGTGCTCGGGTGGACCTCGGGATCCGTGGAAAGAAGAGTCCGCCACCAAGAGCAACCCGAGATCCCGCCGCATGTCTTCTCCGAGGCCAAGGTGGACGGGGCTCACAGTTCGTCGTGGGATTTTTCGGCCACGATCATCAGCTTGGAGAGTTCGGAGTGGAATTTTCCCTCGCGGTGAGACACTGGAAAGAGGAAGAGGGTGGCAGGAAGGTTAGAAATAGAATAGAAATAGAAAAATAAAATTTATTTATTTATTTATTTGTCTTGTATGCCGCCCACTCCCGGAGGACTCCGGGCGGCTCACAAAAGACAAGGGAAAGGGGGAAAACGAGACAAAGACAACATATTAAAAACAAAACCAACATTCACAATTGGGATAGGGATAAGGATAGAAGAATTAGAATTAGAAGCAATTAGAATTTAAATTAGAGAATTAGAATTAGAGAATTAGAATTAGAGAATTAGAATTAGAGAATTAGAATTAGAGAATTAGANCCTCTTTGAATCGCTGTCACTGCTCTGTTTTACAATAAACCTTGTTGTTTGGAAGTCCTGGCTCTCGCGTCTTCTCTCCAACCCTTGATCTTCAAAACTGGTCAGGGCAGCCACAGAGAAGGCTCTCTTCCGGGGAGCCGCCAGCCGACATTGTCTAGCTGACGGCATCTGAAGGAGGCCCACCCTGTGGGATCTTACCGGCCGCTGGGAGGAGTGTGGCAGTAGGCGGTCTCGCAGGTATGTTGGTCCTAAGCCATGCAAGGCTTTAAAGATATGCTAAGTACAAGTAACAAGATGTATGTTCTTTCATAAAAGTAAAAAGCTAGGTTAAATGAGAGGTGTGTGCATGCACAAAGAACAATTTACTTTGAACAGCACATGTGCGTGCAGTGTGTGTTTGGTGCGCATGAACACATTGCGTGCGTGTTGCAAATCGGTAGTAAAACCAGCAGCAACCCAGCCCTGGGTTAAATATAATTTAACCAGCTATGCATCGCAGAACTGAAGCATAAGTATTTATGCCTGATGTCTTCCTGTACTACATCAACTTTTTGTTCAATCCCTTGACGTTAAGCCCGATTTTAAAGCTAAGAGATAAATGTACATACTTCATCCACATCAGGAGACCTGTGAAAAAAAATGTATGTTAAACCAGAAATTAACACTTTACCGTTTACTTTTGGACAAAGAAAATAGAATCAAAAGACTTACTAAGTTCAGCACCAGAAATGCTCCCAAAAAATTGCAATGAATTATGGCATCAATTTATCATCTGTAAATATACATCTGGTATGTTTGTTGCTTCGATTTTACCTTTTTAAATGTTTGAATATTGTGTGTTTTCATTTGTTTTTCGCATTCAGTTAATAATATATTTTTTTAACAAAACCAGTTCAGGCTATTGTTGGTCATCCAGACTTCCCTAATTTGGTGTGGGTTGGACAGTGTTTTTATTGTGAAGTCTCAGCACAATGTATTACATTTGTCCCACAAACACAAGTCTAGATTGTTGATTAAATCCACCCTCTGTAATTAAGATTCAGTGTCTTGTATGGATTAAATAATGACATCATCATGAGCCAGCTTATCATAGGAATGCTTTCTCTGGTCCACTTTATAAACTGCCTAGTCACTTAGGTAAGATGGGTGGTGTAGAATTTTGATAAATAAATAGTACATGTAACCAATAATACTATATTGTGTTTTTGAAAACAATAATCTTATCTACCTGTAATTACAATTTATCACATTATTTTATTTATTAATTATATCAAAAATGAATCATTTTATCAATGTTCAATACAGATGCTCCCTAAACATAAGAGATTTTCTGTCACTTATTCTCATCATCCAAAAAGGCTCTGCTGTGGACAGAAAGACAGGAAGAAAAATGAACTGTATCACGGTAATAGTGGCCATGCAACATATTGCAGTTTAGAAAATAAAGGACTGTTACTGAATTCAGTTTGAATATTGTGTTTGTCTTGAGGAGTTTCCCCCCCCCCCAAGAGTAAAAGGCAAGTACAATATTGTGGAGCAAGAGCCTTACTGTAGTTTACTCTGCCAAGCACAGAAATCTCTCCAGTTCTCTCCTCTGCACCGTTTTTCCTTCTAAATTGTGCATATTTCTCCAGAGATCTCCCTGCTTTCTTCAGTAGCACTCATGTTTCTATGGCATTTTTCTTGTTAGCTAATCCTCTGATCCCACCAAACTCATCAATGGGTTTTTATACTGACACTTTTACCAATATTGAAAAACAAACAAAACTCTGAGTAGCCTTCATTCAGCCCATTGGCTTTTCCTTTGTGAGGTGATGCTTCATGATGGTGCTGAGAGGTAGATGAACTCACAAAGGAGAAGTAAATAAAATCTTTGGGTGGGCTAGTGAAACTTGAGGTCATGAGCTTTACTCTGTGGTGGGTTTCAAAAATTGTTCGAACCTACTCTGTGGGTGTGGCCTCCTTTGTGGGAGTGGCTTGCTGCCCATGTGACTGGATGGGAGTGGCCTGCCGCCCATGTGACCGGATATGAAGATGNTATGGCTTTTGATAAGCACACGTAAGGGAACTTTATACAAGGCATGTTGTTGCGATCACAAACTACTAGTCAATTTCAAACAATCAGCTACCTTCATGAATTCCTTTTCTCAATATTTTTTTAAAGCACGTTTAGGTTTTCCTACTCACCAATGACAAAGAGCTGGGTCCCCTTTCCTTTGACTGGATAGTAGGGTGGAGGGGATATCCGTTCAATCTGGCAAATGTACAAACCAGCATCACTTGACTGTAGACCCAAAACTGTTACATTTACCCAGTCGTGACCAGGATAAACTTGGCATCTGTGGTTTTCCTTCTGGTGGCCTAATATGATCCCGTCACGAGTAAAGGCAGAGGCACAGATCTCAATGGACCCATTGTCTTCTTTAAATAAAGTGACTGTCAGATCTTCTGCATTACCCAAGTTCTTGATTTCACACTCAAAGTGGGCGGCCTCTGATATCTTTACCATCATGAATGCTGGCTGGGTCACTTCCATGACTAATAATAAAAAAAAAAACAGACATAGAGTTTTGCAAATACAAATCATCTTGTAGGAAAAAAAGAATCCTAGCCACAAAAAAGGGGTGATTTTCAGTCATTTATGTGTTTTAATCCATGTGTTTAGATATACTTTCAACATGGATCTAGTAAGTCTTTAAAACCAATTTGTTTTAGTTTAGGATACCTTATTTATTATTACTTTTCTATAAGTGGCTTAGTTAAATGTCATTATAAAAGCAGTAAAAAAAATACTAATATCCCAAGACTATGCAGAAATTATATCTGTAGCTTAATGTGCATTAGAGTATCTACAGAAAGGTATAAACAAGTTAGCAGACATAATAATAAATGAATAAATGTCACTGTCTTTTCTTCCTTCTTAATATTTTCTCCCTTAGGTATTATAATTTGCCAACCCATCTACCCATCATGTCTGGGCCCCAACTGATCACCTTTCCTTACCAGCTGCTGCTCTATTATATAGAGAATAAGCGCCTAATGAATGGGTTGAATTTGGTAACTAAAAATTTAGTAATTGAAGAAGTTTCTTTTCCTCCCTAATCCATTTTCCTTTTTTTTGCCATGTTTTTCATATTATAAACCTGCTGGTACGTGACATTTTATTTCCTAAGCTATTGTTCTTGATTGAACAACAGAGTAAAAATAATATGGAAAAAAAATAACCATATACAGATTGTGAGACCTTTGGGGCAATAATGTGCTGTCTTATTCTTTGCAAGGAATGACATATAACAGGTACAAATAGCAATCCCCAACCACAACAACAACAGCCCAGTTGCGATGAATTATTCATACGTATCTCTTCTTGACCATTCTCCAACCCTGGAAAAAATTTGCCAAGATTTGACCATTTGGATCTACCCACCTTTGGTGAAGCCAGAAGCTATGTTGCAAAACACAAGGGCGAGCAGAAGTGAAATCATCTCGCAATCAGATGTTCAGTCCAAGTCAATTCAAGCTGGAAGAATTCAAGCTTTCATCTAGAATGCCAAGTTGTTAGGAAGATACTTTCTCAGAGTACAAGGTTTTGGTTTAAGAAAAAAAATTGGAGAATTCACACTGTTAACGTATGAAGAAATAGGAAGTACAGTAGATGCACATACAAGAAAAGAAAGAAAAATACCTGAAAAGGTAATCAAAGATATTTTGAAGGAAGTTGTGGGTTGGCTCAAGGCGTGCACAACTAACTTCAAACAGCAATGAGCAAAGCGAGAATGCATCAAAGAGCGAAATCAGTTAATTTGAAACACGTCATGACCCGAAGGCATTGAAAATGTGTGATTATCCAATAATTCTAGTGTTAATTCATTTCCTTCAACCCCCCTATGTAGTTTTCATTTACGATAACACAATGCACTTTATGTATCAGTTATTACAATCAAAAATGTCCATGATACACATTGCTTCAATTCATTTGTAGCTTCAGTACTTATCACCATCCTTTCCTGAGTGATGGATTCTGGTAATGTGAAGCTTGCTCCAATCTATACTACAAGCCCAAAACTACATTGTTAGGTATTTACATTCTAAATGATGTCAGCATGTTGGTCATTCAATACTATAGAGTTGCAATGTGAGATCAGTTATATAAATGTAATAAGTATTACAGATATTTTTCATGTTGTCTATTATTTATTTATCTATTTATCTATTTATCTATTTATCTATTTATCTATTTATCTATTTATCTATTTATCTATTTATCT